TTCTGTTTCCTAAATTCTGTATATTTTTTGTGACTGTAAACGGCGAAGGGAGGAATTTCCTATCCCGTTTTTCTCGTTCTTCAGTTTAAAGCCTTAATTTAGTCTGGTCGAAAAGAGGGAGCGAGATATTGTATGTACCCTTTTCCCTCGCCAGTCAATACCACTAGTGCGTGAAAGTGTATCGAATAAAAAGATTTTCATCCGAGATTAGCTTAAAATTCTCTTTAGAAAACCTAGGATCTGCTTCATATGTTCATCTCCTGTGGTATCCAGTGCCATATTCTAAGAGGCGGAAGGCCTTTTGCTTCATGTCAGCAATTCAATACTGAAGGTGTTGTGATATGATCAAAGCCTGACCAATGACCAACATCCAAAAATATGCGAAGAAAATGTACAGTAATGCTGTCTGATCTTTTTTAGCTCAGAAATGAAATATACCTGACTATGGAAAGAGATTTCAATAACCGATGGAGCCAGCAAACACGGCTCACCATCCACTTGCATTGGAATAGCCTTTGTTGTTGTAATACGTGCTCTGGAGCACTGAGCAATGCGCTCACCTTTACCGCCCATTTGAAGAGTTGCCTGTAAAAAGTATTTCAGAAAATCCAGAACACATTTAATTACAAGTTGAAATAAGGAATGAATATCGAGTTCAAGACTTCACTCCCGATGGGAAGTGTTGGTACTCAAAAATAGCCCGAGTGGTAGCAAATACAACTATCTGCGGACAAAAATGTCGACTGTTCTCCTTCCTTTTTCCAGCGCTGCTTCTAAACAAGCAGTGGTGGATCTATTGCACTAATATGTGCCAGTACCAATTTGCCATCGAAACGAATCAATAAATTTTAGGAAAAATGAAATTTTTCCTATTGACAAAATCGAACTTTTAATTAGCATAGGAGAACTTACCAGTGTGGCAGTGGTGAATCCGAGTACCTCCAATTTACCATCACAGTTTGACGGCCGGCAGCTCTCGTCACCGTCGGTACCCCATGGTACTGTTCCACCCGCATAGTAAGTTATGTTGTGAAATAATATGCAGTGAAATTTAAATTCTTTGATTTTTGATGTCAGATCCACGCCATCGCACTGAAATTCAAATATTATCCAAGATGTTCTGTGAATTGCAAGGTTGATATGAGTACAGTTGATAAGTATACAGGTCATTCTTCATTTTGTAAGTACCACTAACTAGTGTACAATATCCACTCATTTCTTGCAGAAATCCTGAGAAACGCCGGTATTTACTGAACTAATAGAATTAGAGATAAGGAATCAGTCCAGATACTATCTGCAAGACGACTTGCTAGGAAGCATTCTGTGTTTCATCCCTTAGCTGGTATAAGTCAAGGAAACGTGCTTGTAAACATGGGGATCAGTAGTAGCTGATTAACAGTTCGTATCTAGATGTGAAGATGAGTGGTTCGATTCATGACCCATACTCATTTACAGAAGGGCTCTGCGAGTAACGCAAAATATAATAAAAGACAAGTGATAGAACCTCGAGGGTGATATATTCATGAAGTAATTTCCAGGTACGTTTGAACAAATCAATTGTCCCCAATCCACCGTATGCAATGCGATTTCTGAGCCTGCTGTTGAGCATTTGTGGATTTGCGCCTGCAAATTATTTCATCTTTGAAAGCATCTCAGTAATCATCGTTAACGCTGAAAGTTCAAAGAAGTTATCAAGAAAAAGGACGGTCTTGTAAAAGTATAAGTTATAGTAATCGGCGCGATTAGCAAGAATGCCTGGACTATCAATACGAAACCCTAAAATTACTGGGATGTAGCCACGAATCGAACGTTGTCTTACCCCTTCTTACTTCAGAACGCTAGCTACGCTGTTTTTTCGCGGACTTACAGTTCGCTTGCAGAATTATGCAAAAATAGTTATTGGGGATTTGCCTTAATTTTACAAAACAAAACGAACTTCTGGAAATGTGAAACTGTAAGGCAACATGCGCATCGGCTCCGATACTGAAATAATTGTTCATTACGGCCAATGGCAGTGTGGTCTGGGCGTCCTCGTCAATGTCATCGGCCATCTGAGTGACCGGCGAGTCCAAATTTGCTTCCACTTTTAAAGTCCACCTGCAAAGTGCTTGGATTAACTCGTCCCTGTCAATAGTGTTAAGCAATTTATCCTTGAAATACTGCTAATGTAATAGCCGCAGCGCCATAATCTTACTTGTAAGCTGATCTGGGAAGAAAAAGAGCGATTGACAAGCTTTGCAAATGCGTGTTTGCTATTGGCATTTGCTACTACTCGGGCTACTACCGAAATTCAGAAAAGAATAAAATACGAAGGAATTTTTGGGATCTTTTTTTTT